GAACCGGAGCGTTATCAAAGATGAAGCCTACTGGAAAACCTAGTCACTCAGCAGTAGTGGTCGCAAGACAGTTTGATGGAAACTCATTCGAAATTCCCCAGGTAACCCTTATATGACATTCATACTCCACAATGCCGGAGACTTAGAAAATGTGTTTTAGTTTGTTTCTTTTCTTGTCGGGAGACCAATCTTTTATGAACTTCATCTTGGAAGATCCAGGTTTGAAAGTTATTTCCCGATCCATCACAGTAGCACCATTGCATTTTTCGATGGTAATGCCGTAGTGTTTGATAAATTTTCCCAAATCTGTTGGTGTCGGTCTATCTTAGATACTGATGAAACAATCATTCTTTACTTGGCGTTCGGTTCATCCATATCCACTCGGTTACTTGCGATAAAATGACAGGCTTAGTACGGTGAAAATTACCGTAATGTGTCGCTGCGGTTATATAGCCCTATTACCGATGGATTGGATCGCGCAAGTCAACTGTGAGAGGAAGATGTTTTCAGAACACATTGATCCTTCGAGTGAAAATCTTCCATGAAATATAAACGGTACCATGTTTCTCATTTGCGAGTCCTGACGAAAATTAAAGCACGATATAATGAAGAATAAAAGCTTACCTTTCCGTAGTTCACTTGAAGGTGACTCAACAGTCCGAGGATAATGAACGCAGTTGACACAAGCAAATGCCCATTACTATCATCTGTTTATTCCCTTTGCAACAACGAGATCAGCTGTGCAGCATGCGATCGTCGCACTTCGTTCATTCATCCGCTTTGCAGCACTAATCTTTGTGAAGGATAAAAATTCTACACGTCGGTTTTGCGTCGAGCGCAAAATCCGATATGGCTTGGTCAAAAGATTGTGGACCGCGAGTTTTTGCCAATGCTTGGTGGGGAATGGTGTAATACATGCACATTTACTCCTCACGGATTTCCTCTCACATGTGCACATTCATTTTTCACGCCTAATTAGCCCTCGCTGTTTGCGATGGCCACTACCCTCACGGAAACTGAAGATCCTGTTCAACGTCAGGAAGGAATGGAAATGTAAGTTACTTCAAGATTTTTCTCTTTTTTGTCATTTGATTATTTTTCTCCTGTAGATAATGAGTCTCATTGAGTATCTTCTAGTCAACTTCCATTGTTGATTGCGGTGTCCCCATGCGTGCTGTATAGTCCATACTTCTGCGGGTCGTGTGTTAACTGAACCAATTGTGTTGCGTACATTTGGAACCTAGAACATTATCACTACTAAACATTGCGCAAGCTTGCATTTGAATCTCTTGAATAAAAGAACTTGAACTTTAAGAGACCATAAAACACCCCTTCAAGTAGCTCAGGTGGTATCGACTCCTCTATTATCTATGTAAATAAATCGCCATTACCTACTCGTACTTCATGAATCGCTCATGCAGTTGTAAAAATCTAGCAGCACAATGCATAAGTTTCGTAATGACTAAAACTTCGTCACACTCTTCCCCTCACAACTTCGAAATTATAGATTGAGGTCACTTGTCTTAAAGGAATATGAACCAGTTAAAGTGCACTTCGCCTTGGCCATGCTCGAGACTGATAACAAGCAATTCGAATCGGCCGTTCAGCATTATCGTGCGGTCCTCCAGGTCAGTCACTTGGATTTTCAGCATATATTCTCAACGTCAATAGAACTGTGATTGAGAATCATACTTTGTGAATATCAACCCTGTTCGTTTCGCCTAATCGCAGTGTCGAATTCGCACATCCCTACGGGAATCAACCAATCTGCTGATTGTACTAATTCAAAGATATTTGACGATTTACAAGTGGCAGTCTGTTACGTTGTATAATGTGTAACATAAATCACCATTTGTTTCTCAAGTCGTTTATTTTCCCTTCTTTCATCGGTACCGAACAGCACGATCCAGTGCACCGTAGTTCGCTGTTCAATCTGGCTTTGTTGTTACGCAACGAATTGCAAGATGCAGATGGGGCTATGCCGTTACTGCAAACACTCATCGAAGTAAGCTGAACAAATGTCTGTTTGTTGAAATTCCGTGCTTCATTAAAAAAAAGTCCAAACAAACAATAAATGTCATGAAGTGTACGGTGAAAAAATACCGTTTTTTGTTCTGTTATTTTCTTTCCCACATCGTTCACATTCGTACCCAAATCCCCTTTTCCTGGTGTTATTGTTGCATAAGTATCGTCTAACTCTCTCTCTGACAGCATTATCCAGACCACGTGAAGTCTTATATGCTACTTGGCGATATCGAATTGACAGAAAAGAAGAACACGGCCCGCGCAAAGCTGGTAAGTGCTGTTCAAGTACGCAAGTTAATTTATGTCTGATATGTACAGTTAATGTCCTGCTACATCGCACCCCTTGGGAATTAAAAAATGTGGGTAAATTTCAGGAACTGCGACACGGCATGTTAGTCAGTAGATGCTACCAAGTGGTGCGAAAATCGGTTGCGAGTACTGAGACAAAATAAATCGGGTCGATGAAAAGTACGTTACTTCCGTGACTTATTTACTTGTTCGCAATGTTCATAATTATGTACCAATTATTTATAACCCAACTTGGACCATGACGTGGCGTAGCGGTGTGAAAAAGTTGGTTTAAGCCTTGATCTCGGTTAGTGCAGCCCGCCTTCCAGGTTTGGGCCCGAGGATTGTTAGTTAGAAATGCCAAGAGATATTGCCCAGAATAGAAATCAGTGATGAAAATGCCCCAACCCACAAATCTACAGTGAAACAAGGAAATAAAATTTTCACTCTTGTTATCGCAATCCAGCGTAATTATTCGGTCTCCTCTCCGCTCTCTTTTGTTCGCCAACCCCAACCTTTTGCTACGATTGCTGTTGCGTTAATACCATCCTTGTTAGCAAGCGGTTATTGTGTTGTGTTCATTGTGACTACCGCAATGTTTGTTCCAGTTATTCGAGAAAGCGACCGTTTTGGCACCGACAAACGTCCAGGCGAAGCACAATCTTTGTGTTGCTTTGGCAGATGACGGACAATTGGAAGCAAGTGAAAAGTGTCTGTTGTCCGCAATCGATCTAGCTCCTGCAGAGCAGTATCTACACGAACATTTGGCAATTGTACGCAAACGGATGTCTCTCACGTAACTTATTAAAGCACTGTTTGTTTCGCAGTCACCCAAAGTTTTTCATGACCTATCGACTTGTCTCCTGTCCTCAGGGGTTAAAATATTGAAAGAACGTGCCCATATGAAATAAACCGCATTAACTACAAAACAAAAACTGTTTTCGTTTTCAGCAAAAGAACAACTCATAGATAGATTCAAAGCTTGGCATATAACCCGTTTACCCATTAGGGATTTGATTGACCCGCTTTCTGCGTCGTAATCTTCGTAATACTCTGAGGTATTTAGTTATCTATTTCTTCGAATAATGGACGACCAACTGGGTATCAACCAAGACTGGTAGACTAATTTGCGATTTGAAACTGTATATTACTCAGACGGCAGCGCTATAGTTTGACCCAAGGACGGTAAAGAAATGAAAGCTAACTCTCGGCGATAAAATACCAGATTGTTTTACGTTGTAGCGACTGAAGAGATTAAAAGAAATGTTAACATCTCGCAGTATTTGTCTTCTTTCGGTTCTAACGAATTGGATAAAATTCTACCTTAGACCGGCTCATTTTTTTTATTATAATCCTCATCGCTAATCAACACGTCCATCAGAACGAAAGTTCACCCTCATTCCGTCTTGCGAAAACTAGCAGTCTAGAAATACATCCATTGCTAACTATTTGTCAGACGCCATCCTTGGTCCTGGCCGGCTGCGAAAGCCATCTCTATCTATTCTGTTTGAAGCTAAAGTCGCACTGTTCCCCAAATCAAGAACAAAATCAGTTACGGGTCAAAGTGCATGCCATGTAGTCAAGTCCTTATCTTCGATAAGCATTTCTTCAACCGCGTCTCGATAATCAAACCTCTCTATTTCTTAAACAACCAACTCTAATCACTCGCATAAGATCCATAAATAAAGGGAATGAAACGTGGTGCTCCTGAAAAGCATTTCACCGAGGTATATAGTGCACATCTCCATATAGAAAATTTTCATTTGCAATCTAAATCACTTATACACTTACATGTCCTGTGTATTCCGTCTCAATCAGATCAACTGAATTGGGAATACCCTCCGTCATACCAAAGGCGAGAATCTGACGCACAAGCTTAAGTGTAGATTTGTGGGGGTTTCTAAGTGGCCGCAATCAATACATCACGGGTCCGCTGAAAGTGCTAGAGGTGGTGTAGGCACGTTTTTTTCTGTAGCACAATTAGGATCCAATGCGTAGTACAGCTTGTCACTGAGAAATTAGCAGTTTTTTCGATATCATTTCATACAGCATTCCAGTGCTTAATCAAAAGCAAAAACAAAAAGCTAATTGCTACAAATGTGAACATATCTTTCGGTATTTTGTTACCGTGAGGGGTAGCTATCTGTAAACAATACAAAAGTCGAAAGTTAGTTTATTTCTCAATGAAACAAGAATAATCAGATCGGACGCTGTATGGGGTATTACCCTTGAGAATTTCAACAATCCGTCCGGTTCGTAGCGCTGGTGTTCTGAATTGAAGCAATTTCTTTGACGGACGGCTGTGTATCAACAAGAACTCCATTGGACACAAAATCTTTCCTTGAATGGTGGAGAAGTCTAATTATGCGAATTTACAACAAAACTTGCCAATCTTCCAAAAACTGAACACATTGAGACAAAGTAGGTTTGATTTCATCAACCACAGCTTCCACTTTATTCAATTGAGGAGTGATGTGCCGAAGAACCTTGTCTTGTAATCTTTTATCGCTCTCTAATGAATGAGTGATCAGAAGGGAAAGTTGCATTAGGTGACAAGGTCGAAACACTGGGGCACAGTATGCACCTCATATACACAAACATAAATGAAAAAAGGAGTCTATCAGCGACCAGGGAGATTGTGGGTCACTATCATAAGAGACTATTTTCGAGCATGATAGATTATCTATGCCAATTGAGCTACCTCATAAGAAGGAAATACTTGAAGGGTTATCAGAGAGACTCATCCGAAATTAGTTCACCCGAATACAGTCCGGAGATCCACTATCACACTGGACTTAAACTGCGCATTATTGCACTACGTCTATTGTAACAGTAGTATAGCAAGGATCGCCCGGGTAAATTCTGGGACTAATTCAGCTGCGATGACCTGAGGAAAAACTGCGGTCAAACTTTTCAATTATTGTTGATTTTTCCCTACTCAAATGTCGAAGATGCTATCTGTAGGCTAACAATGAGTATACAAGATACCCAAAGTGCATGAGTCAAAGCCCCCGATCGAGTGCACCACTTTACCATTTTTTCGTTGCTCAAAACGTTGCTACTTATGAGTAGTATAATTATACGTATATATATCACAAAAGTACGTCTTTGTACGGACCGGCCTTTTTGTGCATCATGTTTAAGTCATGGCACAACTCAGGTTAATTTGTCACAAGTAAAATTGACAGAGGTAGCACTTCTCGCTCATCTGCGTTTCCTAAGTCAACCCCTTCAATTCAAACGATACGGATGTGTATTTTTAACCCTTCAGTAACGGGCATCATCACATCGGCTACTTGACTTTGACTTTCTGTTCGGTTCGATCTCGAACACACAAGGCGTTTCACTGGATCTTCCACGCAATGACCGTATCATCAGTTTCCGCAATTCTACAGGCCAGCTGAGGCTAACAATCTAAAAACCAAGTTGATTAATGTGACCTAAAGATGTATGGAAAATTCTGCAAACTTCCAAAAAATTCGTAACTAAAAAGTTACGCCAGGGGGCTGTTTTGTATTATTCCGCCCCGTATCCTACCGAATTGCAATAAAGTTTTAAGGTCGAACAGTTTTCAGTATTGTCTAAATAGTCCCACAGCACATTTCACATAGAACAAGGAGTGGCGAAGAAGCTCGTTTTCAGTGATTCGTAGTCATGCCCAATACATCACAATAAATATTACGCTGTTTATGTATAAATCAGTATTCAACCATAAAACGCAAACAATTGTTTTAGGTAATGGCTTTTCTGGGGCTAATTTCGTCTTGGGACCGGATTGAGAATTCCACATCCGGTCCCAAAACGAAATTAGCCCCAGATAACCTATGGGACATCTGCAAGCAAATCAGTGATGAGCTTGGAATCCCGCAAACCGTGAGGAAAAGGCTCGCCCGAACAGGGGCTCGAACCCTGGACCCTCAGATTAAAAGTC